CACCCAGTGTGCCAAGAAATTCCCCAGGTGGGACAGTTCCCAGGATCTGAGGGAACAGAGGGTCCCCACCAAGCCTCTGTCCTCCCTGGTGCTTTGGTTCGCCGGAGGGGAAGCAGGCAGGCTCAGCCCTGCAGCTTTCCTTTCTGGTTTTGCCTGCCAGAGGGGGTCCACTTCGGTGGGGTTTAGGGGGTGTGCTGCAATGGGTGCCATGATACGCCCCCTTGCTGCTGCAGTGTGCGGTGGGGTTTCACACTGGGGCTTTGGGGTGAGGTAGAAAAGTTGTGCTACCACGGCCAAGGCTGGTGGTGGCGCTCTGGCTGGTCCCTTAACCTCTCTGGGCCTAAGCTTCCTTATTTATAAATCAGGGAAGATAATACCTTCTCAGAGTGTCTTGGATGAAGCTTGATATGAAAATAGCCACCCGCCTGCGTTCATTCATCACGCCCCATTAGTGACGAGACTGCTCTCTTGTCTGTCTCTCCAGGAGACTGCAAACTTCCGAGGGCAAGGACCAGGCTTCACTCCTCTCTGTGCCCAGAGCCCAGCACGAGGCCGGTCTGTACGGGTGTTCCAGCGTGCCACGTGTCTAGTAAGACCGGGCCCGGCATGCCGGAGTGGCGGAGGGGCTGCCCCTGGTGTGTTGCGGCGGGCAGGTCGGGGCCGGGCGATCGTCCACTCAGGCCCTGGGCTGGGCCTGCCGCCCCGCTGGTGGTTGATCACAGGCCCTGTGGAATGGGTTGTCACCGGAGAGCCGATGGGGTGGACGCCCAAGACTGCTGAGCTCCAGACGGCCATATTCAAAATCCCAGTGTGCACGTTGTTCCCTGGTGTTGCCCTGTGGCGTTATTCTAAGCTTAAGCCTCTCTTGCCCGGCCTCAATTTTTCGTCTCCCATGAAATGGGGTTGGGGTCCAGGCGTGAGAATGGTTACAGGTGTCCTCAACATCACTTCTTTTTTCTTTGTTTTTTTATTTTTTGAGGACAGGAGTCGTCACTTTGCTGCCCAGGGCTAGCAGCTGTAGTACCGTGGTGTCAGCCTTAGCTCACAGCAACCTTCAAACTCCTGCCGGCGCTAGCGATCCTCTCTGCCTTCGCCTCCCGAGTACGCTGTTTTTTTTTTTTTGCGGGACTGCACAGGCATGCCGCCCACCGGATGCCGGGCTGAGTTATCGTTATGTATATGTAGTTGCGCCACATTAATTTCTATTTATATTAGAGGATGGGTCGGTCGGCTCTTGCCTCAGGCTGCTTTCGAACTTCCTGGACCTCGAGCAATCCCGGCCGCCTCGGCCTCCCAACTGCTAGGATTACAGGCGTGGAGCCACCGCGCCTGTCCCCACCATCCACCTTACTATTGTTTCTCTGATATAAACACCAGCAAATATGAATGCCCTTGCCTCCCCCCACGCTTCTTATACAAAAATGATGTTCTGTCCACACTCTTAGGCTTCTTTCACTTCTCAGGGTGTCCCAGCGAACTTTCCTAAGGGATTCTCGGCGGTAGTGCTGACCATGATCGAGTTTTGTCCCGTGTGCTGCCCACGCACATAACCTGCGCCTCATGTGGGACTCCACCTCGTTGCTGCAGAGAATGTGTGGACATAGAGGGAAAAGCCACGAGCTCTGCCAGGGTTTCTTGGGGAAAGTAGGACAAAAGAGGGGACAATTGAGCTGGCCCTTGAGGGATGTGTAGGAGTTCGCTGGGTGAGAACCGCAGAAAGGGATTTGGATCTGAGATTTGGAGACATGACACAGACATGGGAGATGATTTTCCAACACCGCAGCCTCCAGCCACGATGACAACATGACAACAGGGACATTAATACTGACGGCTGCCATTCCTGGGTGCTTCACCGTGAGCCGGGCACGGCGCTGAGCACGTCACGGGCACTATTCGTGCTCACCGCAGCCCCAGGAGGCACCGGCATCACCCCCACCTTAGGGTTGAGGAGACTGAGGCTTGGGAGGGTTCAGAGTTTCCCCAGGGCTGTCAGCTCGCCCTGGTTGTGTGGCCGGGCCCTGGCTGCCACTGCATGTGGCCTCCTCCTCACCACGTGCAGTGAGATCCACGCCAAAGGCTCGCGTCTGTGCCCACCGGCCTGGGTGCCCAGCTGGAGCCACGGGCAGTTCTTTGGGCCCTGCAAGGACATGGCATCCTCCAGAAGTCCGAGTGAGCCCCGGGACTGGGCCGGGAGGAGGCTCTGGCAGGATGACCCCGCCAGGCGCCACATGGACGTGGCCCCAAGGCTCCGAGGCCACTCCCGGGGAGCACAGGCCTGGGCTGCTTCCTTTCCCTGGCAGGGCATCGCCGGCTGGTCCTCGGCCTTCTCCACTGGAAACCTCAG